CTTCACCTCTGCAGAAAAAAAGTGTGTTCTTTAGATATATATTTCCTCTCTACCCCAGTTGAGGATTGGCCCCAGGAGCAGTTTTCAAATGTCTTTTGTTGTTTAAAAGAAAGGTGGTCTGCTCAGGACTGAAGCAAGAAGCCATGAACGAGAGCACTCCTAAAAATGTTTTTCTTCTAGTTGTGACTAAATGAGTATCAGATTCCAAATCAGCTTAGTAATATTACAGATAAAGTTTAGTTTAAAAAATTAAGGTCCATGTCTTTATGTCTGAACCTTCTGTATGCATAATTTGGCAAAACTTAGTATTTTATATCAATAATTCCATGCAAAATACACCTTTAACAATGTCTTTTTTAAATAAAGCTTCACAGCTGAAATTGTTGGATCAACACAGCTCTTTTCTGAGTCAGCAGGGGGTCACTGCAGCATTTCTCCAAAGGACGGGCTGTTTTTTGTAACTTCTTCAGCAGAAATACTCAGGTCACAGCTTTCGGTCTTATCTCTAATGGGTGACCAGATGTCCCTTCCCTTCTGTGCAGGATCTGCCCAGCTTTACTTTGTATTAAGGTACTAGGCCAGTTGTCCCTGGAAGTCATTAAAACGAGTGAAGATAAAGAAACTCCTTGTCTTCTCTGTACTAGCCAGATGTATCTGAGTCAGGACTGTCACTGAACATTAAGTGTCAGTTCTTCATCTTTATAAACCCCAAAGAAATGATCCCTGGCCTGCCCATCTTAGAGAGCAATTTCTCATAAAGAATGACCAACCAGCGGGCTGCTCTGGCCACAAAAAGACCACACGATGTTCTGTGCAGTTCTGGATGCCAGATACTACAGTAAAGAAGCCAAGGAGATTCTGAGTGACTCAGGTAAGGCAGCAGTCTGAGAGTCAGAACATGAAGATCCTTAACTTGTACCAAAAGCTTATGCCAATTTCTACTGCCATCAACAGTGCACCAGCTAACCAACAGTAGGCTCTAGAAATCCTTTTGATTTCTGCCAATCTGTCAGATTAAGAACTGCTATTTTCTTGATCTCCTCCTCTCTCTACCCCTCTCATTCTTGCAATTCTTTTTATTTGAATTGCTGATCATTGGTAACAATGAACATATTTTCATGCCTACCGTCCATTTGCATTTCCTTAGTAAAATTGTACACTTCTACTGTCCATTAGTCTACTGGGTTTGGAGTATGTCTTCTTACTGATTTGTAGGATACTATACAATTATCAATATTATTTCTTTGGCTGTTATTTTTTTTGCAAATATGTTGTCCTACTTGGCCACTTGCGTTTCAACTTCTTAAACTTAATGTACAAATCATTTTCTTATAGCTTTATCTATAACCTTTTTCTTTATGAATTCCAGATTTTCTACTAGGCTTGTAACTGCATGCTGAATATGAATGCAAGATTTCATATTTATAGGTATCAGACATTATTTACAATTAAACAATGAATATCCTTTTCTGAAATAATGTTCTAGGAGAATCTAATTTAACAAACCTCACTATATTATCCAGTTTGACAAAGCACGTCAACTTTTACATTAATGCTGCTTAGTTGTGGGAAAGCCAATCAAGAAATCCACTATAACATGAATTCATGACCTTTCTCCAGTTAATCACCAACTGATTAAGTTATTTGGAAGGGGGGCAGCACAGAATACATTCTTTATATATAACTACACACAAATACATGCTAAATAAGTACAGTGTTAAATAAACACTAAACTTGATACATTTTTCAAAATTATAGGTGTATGATTTGAGAATTTTTTTTTTAAAGATTTTATTTATTTATTCATGAGAGACAGACAGAGAGAGAGAGAGAGAGAGAGAGGCAGAGGGAGAAGCAGGCTCCCAAGGAGCAGGGAGCCCGATGCGGGACTCGATCCCAGGACCCTGGGATCATGACCTGAGCCGAAGGCAGACGCTTAACCATCTGAGCCACCCAGTCGCCCGAGAATATTTTTAAGATGAACCTACAGACGTGCCTTTTAGACACGGATTCCAACATGATGTGACCAATTTCTCGTACCTAGACTTTATCCCAATCTAAGTAAGCCAGAGGCAAATACTAGGATTAGAAGTAAACTGACAATATGCCCTCAAACCGCGGTAGCAATTTCAGGGAGCATCAGGTAGGAATATTTTGCAGTAGACATGTCTCCTCATGTCCTAAGCAATGATGCATCCAGGACTAGGGTAAAAGGAAAGTGAGAGATTCGTGTAGAAGAAACTCAAAGCTTTATGAGCAGTCTAATCAGACATGTTATTATGTCAATTACCATCACCACACTAGCCTGTGAGCTGTGAGTGTGCAAAAGCCATGGATCCACTTTCAATCTGCACTACACTGAGCATAACCAAATTCCTATATAATTTATCCAGTTTGGGTTCTGTGACAGGTAAAGATGAACTGTGGGGAAGTGGACTCAGAGGACCCCCCCCCCGTTATTCTCCAGGCATTCCAGCTTGTCACTGTCCTTAAGAGTGTAGTTTTTCGAACTGAACCCTATGTTCCATATGTGATCTGACCAGCCAAGACTACCCATCCGTTTATTTCATAAATGTAGTCTTAGACTCCATCAAGAGCTTTGGCTGCTTTCTACTGAGCAGTTTAATTGACCTAAGGCTTCTCCACGTGTTATAGGGAGCCACATCTTCACCCATTGTTTACTTCTGCATTTTGGGACATACCTGCAGGACTGAACAATTATTCCTGTTAAACTGCTTCTACTTTAGATTCAGTATACGGTAGGAGACTTCAAATTTTTTCTGGGATCTTACATCTGTTATCCAGTGTCTTATTAGCTTTCCCTACCAGATTCCTGTCAACTACGAATCTGATCAGCAAGTCACACAGGTCTTCCTTTACTCCCTGTTAACAGTACAAATAATGAAGCTTTCCAATTAAAGCATGCCATCAATCTGAATTGTGTGTACAGCAATTTAAACAACCACAAGGCCACCAGGCCACCTAACTGCATTACCACTAGCAGGGACAGCTTACAGATTCCTCTGACCTTATGACACACACATATTCATACAGAAAAAATAAGTATCATACATACACGTACAGTACCAACAAACAGTACTTATCCTTACCAACTAAAATTACAGTGATATTCTCTATTCTATTTTATTCTATACTAGTCCCCTGTTCCCTTCCTCCCTCTTGAACTGCTAAGCTGATTTCACAAACAACTGATAGGATGGAACCGGTGGTTTGTAAAACAGACTTAGAATCAATCTGAGTAGCTCTTTTACTAGTGCCAGCTAACTTACTCACAATGTTGAACTTTTCCAATTATCATAAGGCAAAAAGATTTCATGACTTGGTTTAAGACTTGAAATTACAGTTACATACTACAAAGCCTTATTGAGAAACATGAATAATTAACTGATTCCATTAATATGTTAAAGGCCTTTTATCAATATGATGTGCCATCTTTAATTGTGTCTACATTGATTCATTTACAGATGGTCTTAAGGAATTAAGAGCAACATTGTTATAGTTTTAGAATCAGGTCCAGAAAACGTGAACTTCACAACTATTTCTTTACAAATTAATATTATATTTTAATAATACAAAAGGTTAATCAATGTCCACATTTTAAAATGTGAAACCATCAGTCTTTAAGCATGAAATCATATATCCATTTTTCTTCTAGTTGAATTTACTGCTCGCTTTGCTGCAGGGTTGTGTAAACATAGTCCATATGATCATGGGCAAACATCATGGTTTTACCTGGGTTTTAGTAAATAAGAAAAGCAAATAGCCAATCCTGCTCTTTTAAAAAGATGGTAATTCCTTAAACAAGTGAGAAAATTGGAAACGAAGTTCAAATATGAAAAAAAAAAGCCTCTTAGAAAATTATTTTTGAGTCAAGATAGATCGAAAAAGTAAAAGAAATGCTGTGGCTCTTAAAGGGTACACCTGAGAATGGTGAAATGATTTTTCTTTCTTCTTTTTAATTATTCTAAGGAAGAACTGTATTTTGGAAAAAACAATTTCCTTTTGAAAATTTACAACCTTCAGGGGTTCCTGGGTGGCTCAGCTGGTTGACCATCCAACTCCTGATTTCGGCTCAGGTCATGATCTCAGGGGCGTGGGAGCGAGCCCCATGTTAGGGATCCACGCTCAGCGAGGAGTCGGCTTGGGATTCTCTCTCCCTCTCCCTCTCCCTCCGCCCGCCCCTCCCCCGCACGCTTATGTGCGCATGCGGTCTCTCTCTCAAATAAATAAATAAAATCTTAAGAAAAAGAGAAAATTTACAACCTTCAAACTTATATCTAGAGGATCAGATATAAACCCGGAAAATCACTTTCCTTCAAGGTCCAGCATGGCTATTTCTGTTCTGGCCAAATGCCCATGAAAGCACAAACATGCCACAAAACCAGCCTGAGCTGAAGCACCATAGTTGGAGATTTGAAGGTTTGTTTCCCTTTTAAACTGCTCAAAGGCCACCATATAGTGGTATTTAGTGTAAATACGCTTTTTCCAGCAGAAGCATTTAGAATCACAGGATACACAGTTCCAGGGCCTTTTAGAGGATTGTGTAAAACATTTTACTCAAAGAGGATTTCTCCTAACGAGTCAACACATCTTTTCCACCCCTCATCCTGTGGTACACATTCACTAGGAGTTGTTGCAGGCCTTCGAATACAACTGAGGAGACAAGGCACACACACAGAAAGACTGAAATCTATGGAGACTAGCGCATGCCACCAGAGTCTGTATGAAAAAACCCAAATAAATGATATGAGGAGCAAGTTCAGATGATGGACACAGCATTGTGTGCTGAAGACCTCAGACTTCAACTGAGGAGATGCTTCTGAGCTATGTTGTGTAGACAGGATATATCTGGGTAAGAGTCAGAAAATGTCTTACAACCGACTGGAGAGCTTTATGCAATAATCTGAATTATGATAAGAAAAAAAATTATTTTGTAATTTTATCAAGCTCTCGTGGGTAATAAAGTATCAAGTAAAGAGGAAGGTAGAAGGTAAAAAAAAAAAAAAAACTCACTGTAAACTCAAGGGCTGTTTACAGAATAATCACATGCCTTCTTTTATTGCCCAAAGAACATTCCACACTTGATGGAGTGGTGCTTTCCAGGTGAGTGTTGACATCATAATACAGTCACAATGGAAAACTTGCTTTTTAATCTGAAAGCTGTATCTAAAATACACAACAAAAACATCATATATCCAAGGGAGTCCAAAAAGCTAAGGTTTGGGTAGAGGCCCCAAAATATTCAGAAAGAGCTACAACGGATGCAATTACTTAACACTGAAAACATAATTCCTTCTACAAAAGTTTTGAATATGGGATTCCATGTTTCCTTTACTATTTCAGCAGAAGAATCTACTAACTCAAGTGAATGTGGTGACTAATAATATTTGTGAAAGTGCTCTATAATCTGCAAAAAAAAATACGGAGATTATCATTTCTGTGCAGGCCTCAAAGTTTTTATTTATTTGTAAAGATTTTATTTATTTATTTATTTGACAGAGGAGAGCGAGCTCACAAGCAGGGGGAGCAGCGGCAGGCAGAGGAAGAGGAATAAGCAGGCTCCTGGCAGAGCAGGAAGCCCGATGCAGGGCTCCAGCCCAGGACCTAGGATCATGACCTGAGCCGAAGGTAGCCACTTAACTGACTGAGCCACCCAGGCGCCCCTACCTTCTTGGTTTTTACCTTGATTTTCCAAATGCTTGATTATTGCTAACCATACTGCCAACCTGTCAGAATCTTAGTGGTTCAAACAGGAAGTTAATGTTAATGAAAACTGGGCTTTCTACAGGTGTTCCTGTGGGCAGGGGGGTGCAGAGGGCGAGCCTGTTCAGTGGGCGACTGATGATGCAGGCTTTGAAATTCTTCCAGACTAAAGTAACATTAGCCATGAATCTGACAGGGGCTTTTTTTTTTTTAATTTTATTTATTTATTTGGCAGAGAGATACAGAGAGAGAACAAGTAGGCAGAGAGGCAGGCAGAGGGAAAGGGAGAAGCGCGGGGCTCGATCCCAGGACCCTGGGATCATGACCTGAGCCACTCAGGCGCCCCTGACAGTGGCTTTTAAACCTTGCTCCAAGGTCCAAGGAAATCAGGTGAGGGTCCATCTCTTCTTGGACCCAAATACCTCATTCCTATCAGTTTTTTATACTGCACTTTGGTGTCAGAAATTTAACAAAAAATTTTAAACTACTACTTTATGACATTAAACATGACTGCATGTTGCACACAGAACTATTATTTTGAGGAAAACACTGACCTGGCCTCCCAGTTATACAACTAGACTGGAAATCAAGTCCCGGTTAAGCTCTTTAATTTTCAAAGGCTGACACGGGGGCTGCTGGCCAGTCGAGCTGGCTGTGAAAGCGGAGTGGTTGCTAGAAAACTCGAACCCTGGACTTCTCTGGCCCCCAATTTTAATAAAAAGTTCAGTGGTAGAAACAATTACAGGGGGCCCCTTCCAAAGCTCCAGAACATCAGAAAAGTAACAATTTAACTGAACTGCACTCTGGCCTGATATTATGCCTTATGTTTTTATACTAAGATAGCTTAAATCGGAACTTAGGTACTTCACTTTTGAAAGTACTGTAGAGAATCGAGAGAAATGTACTAAGGACTCAGAGCCTATACTAATAAAGGATCCACAGGATCTCAATTCCTGGAAAGATTACATTTCTCTTAAGTGGCTGATTTGTTTTTTATCTCATGAACAGTCTTAACAACTGCTCTTGTTTTCTTCTTTGTTCTGGCCACTAAAGCTCAGAGCCACAGGTGTGGTCCCCAACCAGCTGGTGTCAAAGACATGCACTTATTTGTGTACTTACCCTGCCCCGGGAATCATCCTCCTTGCCTTTCCTTATTTTTCCTTTGCTCCTTATGTAATTCTTGGGGGTGAGGTCGGGGAGGGGGAGGGGACATAAGAGGGAAGAAAAGAGGAAACAGAACCCTTTTTCCACTTGCCTCAACTGGAAAGAAGGAACATGAAAGAGCAGCTAATTTTAGCATGAGGGTGTGGCTTTTAGTCTTAACACCGTGATAAATTTGTTAAATACTTCATAATCAATTCTCCTGTTCAGGTGAAAACAAGTGACCCTGCTAAGGGGACATTCTGCCTGGGAGATTACTAAATTAAGTCAGAGAGGTAAAGTGTATCAAGGCAGTCAACATGTATGGGGGACAGTAAAATAAGGTACTTCTACCATTTTTCTTCAGAGTCAAATAATTCCTGCCTGTGCTAACAGTGGCCCCGGTCTCCTCCGTAACATGAGAGGCTCTCAAGCAGATCCTACTCCAGCGTGCAAGGCCTATTTAGTCCCTGTCATTCTCCTTTCTGGTAAGGAAGGATGAATAAAAGTATTCCCAAGTTTATTCAACATATTTTTCAAGTCCCTATTATATGTGAGGCATTGAAGACATTAAGGCCTAAATAGCTGCCTTTAGAGAAAAATACTTTTTTTCATCAGTTACACGAAATGTATTTCATTCAACTAGTGTAAAAAAATACCATTCATAAATTAAAATGGCTGAATTAAATTTAAAACTTAAATTAAGTTAATTAATTAAAATTAATTAAAAAATTAATTAAAATTAAAACAAATTAAAATTAAAACTTCTAGATTCTATTCCAATCTCTTCTCAGAAATTAGAAAAAAACAATACAAGTTGAGGTAAGGGTGGGGTGGGAGGGTGACAGGCAAAGGGCACAAGGTAAATGTTAACAAACTACAAATGATGAGAAACCAAAATGCCACCCAATCAAATACTGGTACTTTGGACTAAAAGCAGATTAACAAAGCAGAACATTCCACCCTTGGGTGGCATACATTCTAATCCCTCCTTGTGTCTTTCTGGGATTGCTGAGTGACAATCAGTGCAGTAGCTTTTAGTCAGGGGTGGAATTCCTTTGGGATTCTGTGATCCAGTCCCGACTTGAGGATATCTATGGGCAGAGGAGCTAAAAAGGAGCCTGCTTTTCAGACCAAAGTGAGAGATAAAGGACAACATGAGAATAGGAAGGAGTATGTGGCCTCAGGACAGACAAATAACCAAGAAGTTCATCTGAACTTATTTTTGGACCCCTAAACAAATCAGACAGGAGAAGAACCTCAACAATCCTCACAGTTGGGAAGGTCATAGGGTCATTCTCCCTAGCCTCCAGCACCACCTCCTTCTGGCAACTGCTCCCCCCACCCAACCATTAACATAGCTACAGTGGGAGGTGCCACAGTCCGGGAGGAACCACACTCCCCCTGGCCCTAGCAAAGTAACCTGGAGGGGAAGGTAGACCTCTCCTGAAAGTCTCTGTTGCAGGGCTGAAGCTCCATGAAAGAACATTTATGAAATTCAGGTGGCCAGGCTTTCTATCAGGTGGAAAAGGCTGGTGTGCACACACAGTATGAGTAAGCAGATAATGGGAGTTTGTGTTCCTGGTTCCGACTGTTGGTGAAGATCCAGGCGCACTGCTGCCTTTTCCCACACTTTCAATTTGACTCCCCCCGAGATAAGCTTTCACTAACTCCCTACCTTGTTGGAAAAAACAAGAGTTCCAAGTAACACGGAGGCTACCTGCAAGCTATCACTGCTGCAGTCCTGTGCCCCAGAAAGGCAGGACTCAGACATTTCTCCTCTTCACCTCTGAGAGGGCCCAATCCTGCCTCGTGGACACTGAGACTGGCTCTTTTATGCTTGCGTGTACTCTGCGTACCTGCATTTGGAGCTGAAGATCGGAAATGTGCCATTAAATGACGGAGGAAGAAACAACAAAAAAAACAACAATGGGAAGTGTGTCTGTTTATTCTCACAAACTGAGAATAAAGTTTGAGATTATTCAAGGAAATGCAAACTAAATGCAATTTTTTTCCCTAGCCATCCTAAACTGAACTCTCAAGATGATCTTGTGGAACTCCTGATCTTTCCCTTTGGAAACCGTTGCTCTAAACTTGGAAGAAATACGGAAGGGAAAGAATAAAGATTTAAATATTACATAAATAGAAGTGTATGAATAGCGGTGTCTCACCTCCCTGAAAAGTTTCATGGCACCCAAGAACAACCATTTCACAACTAGAATGCCACACCTTCTCTTCTTCTGTAGTAGTTCCTGAGAAGGGGAGGGAGAGTGCAAGACAGAATCTGGGCGAAAACAGGGTGTTTACATTTACAGAGTCTCAGTGTCTGACTTGAGGCAAAGCAGAACATTTTCGAGTTAGAACATCACAGCTCTCGCTCAGAGAGCAGAGTCAAGGCAATCTATTGAAAAATCCTCTTGGTTCCAGAGGGACCAGGTAGCTGCTATGGCTCTAGAATTAGTGCCTCAAAATCAAGCTACATGAGGACCTGACAGCCAGCCTTGTGCCCTGAGCATCAAAAACTGAGGGGATGGGGTCAAGCAACAGCTAGTTTTGCAACGGCTAAATGTTAGATGACATAATTTATCATCCTAACCCGGACAATCTGGGGAATGAAGGGGGATGCGATGAATAATTATGTAGGGACAAGAGGCATAAACCTGGACAGTCCCTGGCTAACAGGGCTTTTGGTCACCAATACTGAACTGTGGCTGTCTTCCCTCCCCTACGACCAGCCAACTTGTCTATTTCATTTCCCCTGATAAGGGCAAAGCACCCTCCACTTAGAGCAGAGCCTAGCACAGTCACCTGCACGTAAATATTAGCGGTGATGAAAGTAAGTCTCTCTTGGCAATATTTGGTATTTCAAATCATTCAACACCTACAATTTACTGGGTTTATAGAGGAATATGCCCATGTCACAGAATAACTATAACTCTTCACTTCGCACCAAGTACTCTCTGCTCCAGGCCAGGTGGTCAACAAGTTGCCAATTCCCCTACAGGGTGAAATATTATCCTGATTCTTCCCACCATGCTCCTGTTGCTGAAGGGATGAGAACAGGCTGATCTAACTTCCGCAAGAGTCCAGTATATCTCAACGGGAGCTCCCCTCATCCACCTCTCCGTGTCCCTGCCCCAACCTCTGAACTATGTTACTGACTTATGTATCCTTGTATTTGAAAATTACAAAAAGCACATTTCATGTATGCCCCTAGAAAACAAGGGCAATCTTCATATAGTCTTCACAAGGTAGGATACTAAAGGAAAATCAACAGTGAGAGTGTGTGTGTGCACACAAGAGTTTTAAATAACGATGAGGTATAAGGTGTCTCCTGAAATCCAAGCACGTGATCTTAAGACTGACTTTGATAAACCTGAAGCCATAAAACTTCTAAGTTCCCTGCTAAAGGAGGACTTCACTGGGCTACCAGCTCTCTCTACTTTGATGACTAACATATCCTCAGCACTAACTACACCTTCTTCGGGTTTATGATGCTGCATCAAATAGAGCATTCCAATAAAATCAGTGCAGCATCCGTTGGAAGAATCTAATTTGTTTAAACATCTTTCACAATTCAAATGATTCAGAGAAGCAAACTCCCATTTTCTTCTTCAACTCAACAGCTAAAATAGCTCATTTAAAATCACAGCTTTATTGACATATAATTTACATACCATACCATTCACTTACTTCAAGTATACAATTCAGCAGTTTCAATAGTTCAAAGAATTGTGCAGCCATCACCATAATCAATAAAATAGCTGGATTTTTTTTTTTTTAAAGACAATGGAGATCACTTGTAGTAAGGATGAAAAATAAATATATGTCATTTTATTTTCCCCTGGCTTACAGGAAAGGAACATCTTAAGAATCTGGATATATACCGGGCCAAAATATTTCCCAGAAACGCCAAATGGGCAGTATATGAAATTGCCTTCTCTCTCTCTCAATGCATTCCTAACATAAGCATTACCACCTAAAACCAAAACAAAACAAAAACCTCTATTTAACATCCCCCTTGTTACCTGTTTTTTATTTCGCCACTACCTGAATTCACTGTTCATTTATCCGGTGTTTTAGCCTTTGACATGTTTGAAAACAGCATGCTTCAAGGGCTAAGAGTATAAGCTATCAGACCCAGGTTTGAACCCCAGTTTGGCTGTTTAGAAGAGGTATGTAACAAAACGCTTGGGCAAAATATTTACCTTCTTTATTATAAAATGATAGCATGACTTAAAATTTTAACATAATAAAACATCCAGGATAGCATTTACTAAAAACAGTAGTTGCCAGTTTGTATGACCTTTTGGCTATACTGAACTAAATATTAACGCTCTATTACCATGCAAAATTTTTTTCATCTGTTTATCTCAGGTTTTTTTTTCCTTTTGATCACTTGATAGCAATGGAAATAAGCCTACTTCCTCATCCAAAGGTCTGACAAAGTCATATAAATGTTTTCTAATTTATGTTTTAAAACTCACTCTTTCATCAAATTAATTTTCATAAAGAGTAGCTTACTTATCAAAATTGATTTTCCCAAAGAATAGATAACCAATTATCTAAAACTCTGCTAAATAATCCTTCCTCCTTCCCCAGTGATGTGTGATCTCACTCATGTAGTAGGCACATATATACATTTTACTGAGCTTCCTAAGTTAACCTTTAAAAAAATCTGACTTCACTCTCTGGCCAACAGTACGCTAACTTGGGAAATTTTCCTGCTTCCTAACATTCATTCAGTCTTCACATGCAAGACCATGGTAACTCCCCATTCTTCCTTAGGTCTTTCTTCCACTCAATTAAGTTTATCGTTTTCTTCACAGAGATCCCCAACTATTTCATATAGATGCCCCCCACTTAGGTGTTTCATTTTTTGTAAAATGAGATTTTTGTCCTAATATTTTTATAACTGAATATTGCTAGAAAGAAAAAATGCTACCAATTTTTAAATATCTTTATGTGGTATATGGCTATCTTATTGAACTCTGATTTTCAGTTGATTCTGTTGGTTTTCCTAGGTTTAAGATTGTAACATCTGCACATATTGCTATCTTCCACCATTTTTTCCTAACAGTTATACATTTTATTTGATGCTTTCTTGCATTGGCTAGGATGGTATCGAGTACTGGAAGTGTTACTGGGCATGCCTATTTCACTTTCTTATTTCAAGGGGGAATTCTACCAGTTTTCTCATCGGTAGGCTGCTTGCTGTTGGTTTAAGGCAGATAACTCTTTTATCTCCTACCAGCTTTTAAAGAGCTCATAATCAAGAACTGGTAAATTAGCATTGCTTTCTTGGCACCTACTGAGATGGCACAGCCCGAAGGGGCAACATGCACCAACCACTGCCAGACCCCAAGGGTTTGAAACCCCCGGCTCTGTGACTTACCACCAGTTTATCCTGGGGCAGATTATTTTACCTCTTGATCCAAATTCCTTCATCTGTAAAATGAGGGTAATAATAATACTAATAACAACCTCTTTGTTGGGGTTGTTGGATTAATTGAGATAATTAGAACAATGCCTGGCACATAGTAAATACCAAGTGTTACGTGTTATTTGCCCTCTTTAATTAGGAGAATTTCCTATTTAATTATTTGCTGATGTTTTACTTAGGATTTTCATGACTACTTCCATAAATGAAACGGAAACATAGTATTCTTCCTTTGTAATGTCTTATCAGGTTGCCGTTCTTATATTCTATCAGGTTTCTAAGAGTTTTTGCTAGTTTTGAAACATGATTTTGTTATCTTTTGGTATTCTAGGATCTAGAATAAATGAGGTCATTTATTGAAAAGTCTCTAAATTTTTAAAGAGAACTTATAATTTCCATATAATCCAGGTCCAGAGCTCCACACACTTTTTTGGTTGGGAGGCCATGGCCTTTAATCTTTATCTAATACATTCCATGATTAATAATCTATTCAACTGCTCCACTTCTTTTTTTTTTAAATTTATTTATTTGAGAGAGAGAGAGAAAGCTTGCACAAAGGGAGGGAGGGAGAAAGAGGGAGAGACAGAGAAGCAGACTCTCGGCTGAGCCTGGAGCCCCACATGGGGCTTGATCTCACAACCCTGAGATCACAACCTGAACTGAAACCAAGAGTCAGACGCTTAATCAACTGAGCCACCCAGGCACCCCTCAAGTGCTCCACTTCTTAAGACAGTTCTGAAAAGCAACCAGTTCCACTTTTATCGTTAAATCTTTCAAAGCTGTGCATAACATGCTCATTTAGACTCAGTTTTCTCTGATCAATTCTTTCTGGATGTACTCCTCTGTCTTGCTCCTTCTATTTCTTATTCCTTCCTCCTTTCAACAACAAAAGCCTCTGTAAAAGATAGTTTTGCCCTTTCCACACCCCTCTATGGGGCGTCTGTACACAGTATACCATGCTAAGCAGACTCATCTCTCTGTCTTCATTCACCATATTTAAGTTTAAAAGTGGGGCAGCTTTCATAAGATAAACAAGAAAAAACGAACATGCCTCACCCTCACCACCATCCCCCGTGAGGTTTTACCTTGTGTGAAGAAGGAATGCACTCTATTGTCCAGCCTACTTCCCATCAACACAGCTTCCAATCACACACTGTGCAGTGTTGAGGAATAAGAGCAAGACTAGCTCTTGATAAACAAATGGGTTATGACCAATTGTAAAGAACAGGGATGAATAATTTTAACAATATAAAGCTAGAAAGTATTTACCGTGCTGTGTGCACATACCAGGAAGAAGTTACCAGTTCTAGTTCCTTCTTGCCTACTTGAGAAGGCAAGGCACCAGGATGCAGCCCAATCTGTAACTAATTTGCTATGCAGCACTTAGGAAAAGCATATTATACAGCTTATATTCTAATGCAATGAACGTAAGTAAAATAATCTTGTAAAAACATCAAAATGACTTCAAGTCCTAGAAAATATTCCAACTTACACACTTTTAACATTTTTTAGATAATCTCAAGTATGAATGAAACTACGAATCTTTACAGATACCTGTATCCTGCCTACATCCTTATCTAAGACACGTAGAATTCTATTAGGAAAAGGAAATAGTTAATAAACTATATTTGGTAGCTTCTAGAAATCAGCACTTTGCTAAGTGCATATTCCCTTCTGGAATATGTCCCAGCAATCAACATCAATTTCAGTCTCTATGATTTGTGGATTCCACCCTTCCCTCCTTTGGAAAAACAGTACATTAACATCTCTAACCTTCCTGCACTGCTCCTCAATCGTCACTGACAGCAAATCAGTAAGGTGAACATTCCCTCAGTGTCCTCGGATCTCACACATCCTGACCAGAAAACTTGACCTCATGTTTCTGTAACAGAAATTCTCCGTGTTCCAGGATGATTCTACATGCCATTACCTTGTGGTGGAAGTAACAGAGTTTGGTGGGTTACAGGTATACACTCTGGGACCAGGGTTTCAAATCTAGGTGTATGACTTCAGACCAATTACTTAGCTTCTTTTTTCTCCATTTACTCACCTGAAAATATGGGGATGAAAATAGGGTTATTATAGGATTAAATGAGGTTAAGATAGAGGGGTCTTCAACTTTATACCAGCAGTTAATATATATGTGCTATGTTAGCGATTTTTTATTCTTTTTACTTCATATTTTTTGCTTACACAAGTAGAGAATCTTTATGCTACCTTAACACTGAACTGGTATACCTCAACAATGCCAATCGGAACCTCTCATTTCAGCAACCCCATGCTCTACTGAGGACAAATGGGCAATAAAAGAGACAAAGAGAGAAACATTTAATCAGGCATAGACAACGCCAATGCCTCAGTAGGTGATGTAAATGTAGGAGGTGGCCAGCTATGTTCAGGACAACAGTGAACAGTCTACAAACTAGATCTGGCCCCCACCACTGTTAATGTCCCTAAATGTCCCTTTTCTTAGGTCAGGATGCAAAATTAAACTCCCAATAGCAATATAAAATACTGAGGATGGGGGGATTTTTAAAAACTGCAGAATGAGCATAAAACAAGAAATAACAACTTTTTGCTTTGCCTTGTTCTTCTTTTAGTGAATTAAAACTATCAGAATGCTAAATTAATCACTGATGTATGTATGTACATATTTGTATTTAATGATGTTATAAAAGCAAGATTATTCTAAATTTAAGATATTGTTAAAAGAGAATGCTTTAAAAATATACAATAATATTGCATAAAGCTCAGCAATTGTGAGTCCATTTGCAACTATGAGGCAAAACAATTTTAAGTGGGCCCTTTTGACTATTTTAAAACTATTCCAGAAGGCTGATATCCCAACAAATGATACATCTAGCTACAGATCAAAAAGAGTCCAGGTTCACTGAAGGCCACTCTAACACTTTCAAAGGCTTAAAATATTTTTGAAAACGTGTATGATACAGCAGAGTGTCTTAGAGCTTCAGTTATCACAAAAGCTAAAATGGACTGGGCACTTAGAGCATATCAGATGTGTTATGTAAAGCATTTCTCACTGAATTCTCACAACTACTTTATGCACAGGTTCTACTATTGTTACTTTACAGATGAGAAAGCTGAGGCAGAATGGGCATTAAACACCCACCCAACAAACCACCACCAGAATCTAAATGCAGGAATTCCTTCTTCTCTCTATGGTGAGCTTTAGTTTTCTACCAGTCTCTCCAGGGCCTTCTCCCAATAGCATCTTAGGCATTTATAAACTCATGTAATCTCTCAGTGTTTCTCAAATTACATGGTGCATTGTTTTAGTCGCTCATAACATACATTAAAAAATAAAGTAGGACGAAAAGTATTCGAACACATCGTACACAGGAAGGCCTAAGTATTGTTTCGTGAAACTTCTTTCTCAGTTTTGACAGTGTGTTTATGTATGGTGCTGGGTCACTGGTCAAAAATGTAATTTCTCACCGTGGGCTGAAGTTAAAAAAAGAAAAAAAAAAAAGGCTTGATAAGTGTTCATTCTTTTACTTAACAAAATGAAAATAAATTATTCCAACCTTAGTTGGATTCCAAACCTGATATAAGTAATCATCCCAATCAAAAAGTAAATGCTTTGCATTCCATACTATGTATGGATATGTAAAAAGTATGTAAATAAGAAGTTTCTCAAACTGTATTCCAGTAGAACCCTCCTTCAAGACTTTGGGGGGAGTTTTTCCTGGGGGGAGGGGGTGTTCCTGTGACCAAATAAACTTGGCAAATTGGGGAATACTGCACATTATGTTTCCTTCCTGGACAGCCACAATGTACATTATTGAAAACTCTAAAGAAAAACAGTAACACAATCACTACCAAAAATTAAAATGTGATTAACAGTTTTTGACCCAGTGTTTTCCCAAACTTAAATTTCATTCTGAAACTTCTCTCACCAACGACTAGTCTCTCATAAGACTAATGCTGTACAAAACAGAATTTGTGAAACACTGTTTTAAGTGAGCTTATCTGGAAAAGGGAGATCCTAATAAACTTCAGCTATTATAGTATGTAAACCTTCAAATAAGCACAAATATAGCAGAGATAAATAAAATACACAGAAAATGGTATTTTGGTTAATATTTCATCTCTGCTGAGCAGTTTTATCAGATTATTACACAACTCTTATCATTTAACAAGCATTTACAGAAACAATGTATTATAATCTGAAAACACAAGGTGGGGGAAGAGGGAAGAGAAGAGATATGAAAAAAGATTAAAAAAATCTGCAACTCAAATAAATTACAATCTATTGTACAAAACTTACATAAGAAAAACCTAAAACTCACACATGAGCACAGGATGAATAAAGAATAAAACCATACTATAACCAGCCAAAAGATCTGCAAAGGTCATGTTAGTGACCTGAGTTCCATCTCCCTGCCTGGAGAATTCAGACATAAAAGAACTGACTGATACCACGCCAGCAGAGAGGGGAAGAGCTGTTTACCTAGGCTAGGAACTTTTTGCAACTGGCATACAGAACAGGGCTCAGCATAATGGGCTATAGAAAAGGCTTGTGGACCCAATTAATCTGTAATAGATGTGTAGGAGTTACGAATGCTCAGGGGTGGTACACAGCTGCCATCTCTTACCAGTCAGAGAACCCTGGGATGGAAATGATCCTATGATCCATGCCAGCATACCACCTTTATTAGAGGATCGGTTATCAATTACAGCCAGAGAATATTTATCTCAAGCATGTTCTTCACATCTTCAAATTTGATTCTACATTTTGGTCCTTTCCACTTTTTCACTCTTGTTGCCTTTGTTAATATTGTTCCTTTTCCCAAAACAAAGAGTTCTTAGAACTTCACAGCATATATACTTAAAAGCTGACAATGAAATCTGAAGTAAAGCTTGAGGATTTGTTAATCATTAACTTGACTTACTAAGCTTATACTTTACAAGCAGATAACATTTAGTTCTTAACCATTTATTCCTAAGTACAAAAGTAGAAAATTTGAAAATACATATTGTGATGTTATATATTACCTGAAGCAGAGAGCTACCACACTGTGAACTAAGACCAGGCACCAGGCCAACCAGAAGAGAATAATGTCAAAGCATGGTTACATACCATAAAGCCCTCATATAGAAACAGGACTTAAAGACCACGGGCAAAAGGAGAGGTACCTAGTACAAGGGGAAAAAAGACAAGTCAGAAAGTCTACACACGGGATCACTGAAAATAAGAGCAAAAGAGACAAGGGATTTTCAGTCTGGTCCCCTTCGCATAATGATGTCATGACTGAAGCCCAAAGAGGTGGAGTGACTCGCCCAGAGTGAAATGATTAGTCACTGAGTCAGGACCCAGCCCTAGGCCTTCCAATTCCCAGGCTTCTGTGCTGCCCACTGTAACAAAGGTCTCCCATCTTCTCTACAAGACTAGTATGAAAAAGAAACACTATCCACTGGCCTAACTAAAACTAGAAACCACTAATCAAATTACGACTCTAAACAACCAAAGTTATGTAGAACAAACCATCTCATTTTGTACTATAACGTGGTTACTGTCTGGAAATCTATTAAAATCCTCATTAAGCTTTACTTACAAACCTTAATTCTGAAGTACTAAATCAAAAGTGGTCAGCAGAAAACCAAGACCCTATAAAGGAAAATAAAAATACCGTATTCCAGGGAGCACACAGTTTGAAGTGAGGCAAATCTGGGTTTAAATCCTAGCTCAACTGTGCAATGCCTGTGTGACCTTGGACAAGGCCCTCCACTTTCATTTCCCATCTGGAATGATGCTAGAGGACAATACCACCTACCTTAGAGGTCTGTCCAACACTTCATGGTACTCAAATGGTAATTTTCTCCCCCAATCTATTTTGTTTTTTTTTTTTAAATCTATTTCAACTTTTAACTTCATACAACCACCCCTAAGAAACTTGCCAGCTACATCACAATGATAAACATGAATAAACACCTTTAAAAAAGGATTATGCGCCAAAGAGCTTTTAATATGTGGAAGCAATCTTTGTAAATGTTAGTGTAAAGGTTCAAAAAAGACATTACTGCATAAAGTATAAAACTTAATTTCTTTTAAGCAAACTAGATGACTAGAGGGAGGCAGGCTCTAGGATCAGTCCTGTGGCTTGTAAGTCAGACGACCATAGCACGTGACTCCACTTCGAAGAAAGCCCCACCAGTTACAGCTCAAGGTTCGTCACTCACCGCTCTAGTTTGCCTGTGCCTGTGCCCCACCCGCAGAAAGAGGGTCTCTAATTCTCACCTTTCTTCTCCCCTGAAACCACCTGGCATCAGCATCATCACAAAACTTATTGTGTCCAGCACTTGGTATGTGCCAGACCCTGTTCTGAGCACTTTAGATGCAGTAACTCATTTAATCCCTCTACAATCTTCTCAGATACGGTGGATATCACACCGCGATATACAAGATGTGCAAGAACTCTAAACGACAGTGAAGTGGAGGCACTTGCCTAACGTTACTGAGCCCAAAGGACAGGTGAGGGTTCAACAATCTAGGGAGTCTGGTTGTAGGGAGTCTGCTAGTGCTTTTAAGCACCAGTAATAGTGCCAATCAGAATTCAATAAATCCCAGAGTGGGCCTTAACTATAGACATGTAAAAAGAAATGTATTCGTGCTATTTCTTCTTTGTGCCCAAAGAGAGCTGATACATAATCCACTGTGGAGGGAGAGAACCATGAGTACCAGGTTCACAGTTCCTTGTATGAGACCAAGCTACAGTTCATTAGACAAAGTTATAAAGTAGCAACTTAAGATCAAGCTATA